TGCATCGTACTCTGGGAATGAATCAGGGTGGTACAACAAATGAGACTTGGTATGAGCCCTGCATCATTTTTTGTAGAAGTTGGAAGGTGTGTAGTGAATGAGGCAGGGAACAGCAGGAAGAGAAGGGATAGTTTGATGGTTAAGGAAATTTAATTACACCCTGGAGAACTGGATTCTGTCCCTGCCTCTGCCACAAAGTTTCTATGCTAGACAAGCCCCTTAAATCAGAATGTTTACAGTTGGCCACTAATTGTGTGTTCCTCATTTTCTGGGTGCCAAATGTGAGACATTTGGGGTCAGATTTGCAGAAGTGCTGAGCACTCATAACCGCACCTGGAGTCTGTAGGCACTGTCTTTTGAATATATGTGTTATAAAAATGTTAAGCACTATGGAAAATTAATGCCTAGTTGTTTCATGTTGGGCAACCAAAATTAGTGAACACTTGAGAATTCAAAAATGCCAGCCTTGCTCTGAGACTTTTAGGGATGTTTATGAAAAAAATTAGGGAACTTTCTTGGACCAGTGGCAAGTGCCAAAGGTGCAAAGCCAAATACAGATAGGAGTCTCGGGTAGGTGCATTGAAAGGCTGCAGTGCATTTTAGAGGCACTTCTGTGCATATCACGGTAATAACAAAAGTGATACAAGCTGAAGTAACTTTTTTCTTAGTAACATCAATAGCGATGACCAGGTTCAACCATGGTAGTGGCCACCCCTTTGCAAGCACCATACAGGTTGCTTGCTTGGCCTTTCACAGGATTATCTTGTCTGGATTTCTCAAGTGGCAGGGTTGACCGAGTATGTCCACTTTGGTGATCATCAGTGATTCCAAACCTTTATCACCAAGATTTGGTCTGAGCTCAGTTTGTTTCTTGCGCACAAGAGAAAATGCTCTTTCTGAGTCAGAGTTCCTGTTAGTTATTGGAAGGGTTACTTTCATTATCCAGGCCAGAACATCATAGTGTCCATTATCTGCAATATGGTATGCTGCTGTTTATCACAACTGATGCACATCAGAACAGATGATGGCATGTTATCAACCTGGTACCAAGCAAACTGCTCCTGCTTTGTGTCTTGCTGTAATTGATCCTTCAGCAGAGGTGGAAGCTGCTGCACAAAGAATGCAGTATCATTGTATGTAGCCGTCATCCTGAATTCACCGTTAGCTACTTCTGCATGTTGTAGTATAGGATCAAGCAGTGGCAGTTTCTGCGCTATGTATGTGTCCACCTCTCGGTATTACCGATGAACTCACTAGAAGAATGGCTCCAAGGCTCTGTCTGTTAGCCTCACGGTGTTCTCTGAAGGTGAAGCAGGACTTGATGACTGCTGAGAGTCTGAGTTGTCTCTGATAAAATCATGTGTCATAATATCCTTGCCATCCTTCTGATTAGAAATGAGGTTGTAGTCTACTTCACTTTGCTTCTACAATCACTAATGGCTTGGTAATTTGACAAGAAGTTCTTTCAGAAGACTGAACAGCTGTTGTCTTGGTATCTGAATCAAATATTCCTCTTTTTGCATTTGATGTGTTTAGTTTGTCAAAGATCAGGATCCTGTAGTCGAAAAATAGGCAATAAAGTTTGTGAAAAAATAAACGTGTCTTATATCATCACAAAAACTTTCAATGGCAAGTTCTGCAGTTTGTTTTGGCACAGTGATGGTGTCCAATGTCAGTTTAGTTAATTTGTCATGTTTGGCATCAGCAACCTTCTTGGTAGGCTTGCTATTGTGATGATCTTTTTGGATGATCCTTGTTTTGCTGTGGCGGTTTTGACATTGATGACTGGCTGTTGGTGGCGGCTACACCTAATTGATTTTTGCTGATGTTGCTGATCTCTGCTCTGCATGATTTTCAATAGATTGTCACTTAAAGTCTGGTCTTGTTGGCATGTCACCTTAGCACACGACTTATTGGCACCGGTGTCAGTTTTATGTTGCTGCAAAGGAGGACGGTGCAGATTGACAGGCATAGATTTGCACTTGGTGCTGCATAAATGAACTTCTTTGGACTTAGCTGCTTCAGTCGGAAGAATGTAGTTAGTAGTTCCTACTGCTGGATGAGCCGAGTCAGACATAGGCCAAGTGACAGCCGGTGTGTGCTTGTGTGCTTCAGTATCTTATGGACTTCTACGTAGGACAGCTTCTGACAAAATGAGCTCCCAGTGATGCTTGGTGCTCTTGTCAATATAATAGTAGATATCAATCAGTTCATCTGTGGTGGCAGGGAGGACTTCACACTTATCTCAGCCATGATGTGCACCAGGTGATATGGGCAACCCACAAGAAAAACAGACAATGTTACTCTCAAGTAAATGCTGCAATACCCTTGTGCAAGACCATCATGACAGAAGCAGTGTTACTCCCAAAAGTCAAACTGTTTAACACAGGAATTTTCCTGGCCTCCATATTTTAATTCAAAAGCTTTAATTCCCAACCTGTACAGCAACAAGGTGATCACTTTACCTTTGCTGTCATCAAAATGTTAAATAATGAGTGGGAGCAGTTTGCTGATGCCTGCATCATTGCTGCCATCAGTGGCTAGAATAAACGAGGAATGATGCATGCTTTCTGCTAGGCAGTTCACACCGTCATTTGCCATCTCTTTGATAATTGCTGTCATCTTTATGTACACCTAGGCATATTTCTTGGTGACTTCTGAGTCAGGAAAAGCAGTTTTCCTCAGCTTTTTATTAATAATATTCCATTTGGTTCAGGGTTTGAATGGTGTGTGGTAAATAATGCCTGGAGCCACACACTGAATGAGGAGGATAAAAATATTTTGAATAACTACTTATTCATTGAACGAGGCAAGGGTTCTGTAGAGAAAATACTATGTGATCTATGTGATACTATGTAATTAAAGACTGTGACATGATGCATATGAACAAAGGGGCTGAATTAAGACTGCACAGGCACCCTTGGCATTCCGTAACTTTTGAATGTTTGACTTTGCAACCTTAACATTCTTTTAACAAACTTACATCACAAAAACTATGTATTATTTTGATGACTATAACACCCAGAGACTCCAAATAGATCAGGTACCGCCACTTTGGTGGGTGCTGCACAGATACACATTAAAATAGTTCCTGGTTTACACCATTTTAATTAGTGAGCTGAATAAACCAAGCCTGCTCAGATACATGGTAATGAATGACCCACGCACACCATGATGTAGTGGGAAGTGCTGAAAGCTCTTCAGCTGCTAGTTCCTATAGGCCAGGGCAAACTACGGCCCTTCAGGGCTTTGGATGTGACCCGTGGGATTGCCCCCTGTGGCCCCTTGGGCCCCATGCTGCTCTCAGAAGGGGCCGGCACCAAGTCCCTGCGGCCCCCGGGTGGGGGGGCAGAGGGCTCTGTGCGTTGCCCTTGCCTCTAGGCACCGCCCCCCGCAGCTCCCGTTGGCTGGGAAAAGGGAACCACAGCCAATGGGAGCTTTGGGGGAGATACCTGGAGGTGCGGCAAGGGCAGTGCACGTGGAGCCCTCTGTCCCCCTCCCCCAGGGGCCGCAGCGCTTCCTGGAGCGGTGCGGGACCAGGGACAGGGCAGGCATGCAGGAAGCCGGCCCTGGCCCCAGTGTGCACCGCTGCCACCCCAGAGCCGCTTTAGGTAAGCGGCACCGGGCCAGAGCCTGAACCCCTCCTGCACCCGGTCCCCCAACTCCCTGCCCTAAGCCCCCTGCCTGCACCTCGCACCCCTCCTGCAACCCAACTCCCTGCCCTGAGCCTCCTCATATACCCCGCACCCCTCCTCTGCCCCAATCCCTTGCCCTGAGCCCCTTCCTGCACACGGCATCCCCTCCCACACTCCGCACTCCCTCCCGCACCCCAAGCCCCTGTCCCAGCCCTGCATACGATTTCCCCACCCAGATGTGGCCCTCGGCCCAAAAAGTTTGCCAACCCCTGCTATAGGCTATAGGACTCTATGAGCTAAACACAGAACTAAATCTCTGCCCCTCCCAGAATGACATGTGGCCCAATTCTTTCTCTTCAGTTCATAATAGGTTTGAGGATACAGCAGGTTTATATGTATATACTCTCAGGTCTATAAGAGATATTTCTTAAACTACTTGTACTGAGGCTAGATTCTAGTCTTACTTTTACATCAGTTTTACACTTGTGTAACTCTGTTACCTACTCACAATTTACTGTAGTAGTAGAATTAAGCCCAGAGACACTCTTTTTCTAGAGTGACCCTCCTGGTATATAGTTCTGCTGTAAGGAGACAACTTCCAAAAAAGCATAAATATATATTCTTGCTTTGGAGAGTTGAAGTCTTGGAAAGTAGTGTCTTTTAGTTTATTGAACAAATGTCTTACAGAATGCTATAGAATAAAGTAAAACTTTGAAGTTTTGTTTCACTGTGGGCTTGTCTACACCAACACTTAGTTCATGGCAAACTGGGATGTAAATCTATTCTGTATTAGCCCACCACACACAAAGTATCCCTGTGAACCCTGCTGCCACACACTAAAAGGCCTAGTGTATTTCAATCTATTAACGTTTCAAAGTGGGGTAGATTTACATTTCAATTTGCTGTGAACGATATGTTCATGTAGACAAGCCCTTAGATTACAGTATCATAAAACTACAGGTGTTTAACCTACAGAGTTTTGCATCTGTTCTGTTCACTGATTGTAAAAATATTCAGATGGACACTACCTAGACTGTAATTGCTCTGTGCATCTTTGCTTTCTTTATAGTAGTTTGAATCAAATTATTTAAAGCAAAGAACCTTAAATTTTATATTCTTCAACACAGCTGGCTATGAAAAAAATGATGTGACCTAAAGAGAGTACATGATTACAGACTCATAGACTTTAAGGCCACCAGGGACCACCATGGTCCTCTAGTCTGACCTTCTGTGCATCACAAGCCACAGAACCTCAGTCACTCCCGCAACAGGCACATAATCTCTGGTGTTGCAACCCTATAGCACATTTCTCTTTTGCTCCACAATGGATCACATATGGGATTTTTGCTTGTTCTTTTCAAACAGAAAAAATACAGAAAGGGATCTGTTGATATTGCAAAAATCAAGTGTGTTGAAATTGTGAAGAACGATGGTGCCATTATTCCCTGTCAAAATAAATATCCATTTCAGGTAAGTTCATTTGGGTTATTTAAAATGTAATAATCTGTTTTTCAACATAGCTCAGTTATTTTATATTTGTTATTTATCTTGTAGTTTGCTTCCGATGACTTTAATGAAGTTTCTTCAGATACTGGGCCTGCTTTCTCTTTCACTTTCACCTGTTCTAAATAATTTCAGTGTAGCTAACCCAATTGACACTAGTGTCAGGGAGAATCAGGTCCATTTAGGTTTTTTAATTGAACATATGTTTTGGAATAATTCAAAAAGTTTGTTTACTTCATTTAATTTCACAATGGAAGGAAAGGGCTCAGAAGGGAAAAGGAAAAGTTTAAACAAATTATTTTGGGTCAGATTCTCTCTCATTTGCAACAGTGCATGGGTAGCCATGTTAGTCTGTATCCACAAAAACAACGAGGAGTCTGGTGGCACTTTAAAGACTAACAGATTTATTTGAGCATAAGCTTTCGTGGGTAAAAACCCACTTCCTCAGCTTATGCCCAAATAAATCTGTTAGTCTTTAAGGTGCCACCGGACTCCTCGTTGTTTTAGTCCTAGAAAATTACTCTGGATTTTAACTGGTATAATTGAGAATCTGGCCTCTTCTGCCTAACAGTAATACTTACTTTTTACCAATGAAAGCAAGAAAGATTAAAAATGCCAATGCAGATGAAGAAGACAGTGCAAGAAGTTATCTAGGGCAATATGGAATCATAAGAAGTTGTAAAGTGACATGTACAGATGGACATTTGATTACAATACGACACTAGTTAATTTTTTTTTAAAGAAAACCCAAGGGTGAAGAATAAAACAAAAGACATGGCCAAGCAAATGGTTAAAGAAAGACTGTGACTATAACATATAATTTTAAATTCCTTATTTGTCCTATCAACAGCAATTTAGATTATTAAAAGTGAAAGAATTTTTAAGTCTAATTTTTCACCATTTATGCTTTTTGCATTTCACTTATTTTGGATGATGAATACAGATTTGTTAGTTTTGCTGAGCCTATTAGCCAAGAAATATTTGTTTTACACTAGATGGTATTTACTAAGAATCAAGTTTAAAATTATTGCCATATAAATGTTATTTATATTTCATTTGATTTATTTTCAGATTGTATATGATGCTAATACACTTTACATTTTTGCGCCCAGTGCACACAGCAGGGATCAATGGGTGAGGAATCTTAAAGAAGGTAAAGACAACTTCTTAAGGTTAATATGTGAAGCCGTTAAGAGGCAAGGCAATTGCTTGAACTAGAAAAAATGAAGCACAAACTTGTATGCTCTTTGTTTAATGGCCTATATATGTATTGGGACAGATTCTGCATTGGTTTATATCATACACTCAGGGGAGAAAGTAACTTAAAGGACTTACCGGTATGCCAGAGTCCTGAGCTGTGGGGGGGTCTCAACTGGAAGGGGCGTGGCCTCAACTGGAAGGAGCGGGACCTTTAGAGCCCCGGGCCCTTTAAATCGAGATTTAAAGGGCCCTGGGCTCCAGCTGCAGTAGTGGTGGCTGGGAGCCCCGGACCCTTTAAATCACTGCTGGAGCTACCAGTTGCAGAGGTGGCTGGGAGCCCTGGGGCTTGGGAACCATTTAAATCACTGCCTGAGCCCTGCTGCCGGAACCCTAGGGTAGCAGCAGCGGCCGGGGGCTCGGGCGGTGATTTAAAAGGCCAGTGGCTCCCACCGCAGCGGCGCCTCGGGCCCTTTAAATTGCCGAAGGAGCCCCAGGGGTCCCGGCTGCCACCCCTACCCTGGGGCTCCAGCAGAGGGGCTCGGGCGGCGATTTAAAGGGCCCGGGGCTCTGGCCACCACTACCGCCCCGGGCCCTT